CTTGGGAGCAGGGGCTTCCTTCTCCACCCGCACTTCTGCATCGTCGGCTGGAAGTGCTGAAACAGGTAGTGGTTCCTCCTATCTGGCCGGGACAGGATCAGCAGATATGACCTTACCGCTCCTAGTAAAAATGGCATCCAGCTGCTGATGCTGGTGAGGATCTCGAGGATTAGGAACAGTGGTGGCAGGCAAAGTCCCCGGTGCCCTGGTGGTGCTCTGGCGGGCCAAGATGCCCACCTGGGTCTGCAGATCCTGCAAAATGGCACCCTGGTTCCGCTGACCTGCCTCCAGTGATGTGATAGCAGCCTGGGTGCTAGTCATGAATGAAGCTAGAATGTTTTCCAGCTTCGTCATCCTATCATCTGGGGCCGGAGCTGCTGCTGGCTCGGCAAACTGGCGCTGGGGCTGCTGGAATGGCTGGCCCTGCCTAGGCTGGTAGGGCTGCTGCTGTGGGTCTGGCCCCTCGCGAGCCTGGAAGGGCTGCCTCTGCTGAAAACCACCTGCTGGTGCTGGGAAACCAGGTGGTTTAGTGGTGTTGCTGCTCCAGGCGAAGTTGGGATGCTGGCGCCACCCCTCATTATATGTGCTACTGTATGGATCGAGGCGCCTCGCATTGGCGATGAAGGCCAACTGCTCCTGGGGTGTGGTAGACTCCCTCATAGCCTGGCAGTCCTCCACTAGGTGATTGGAGCTCTCACACCACTGACATTGAGCTACTGGAGGTGTAGCCAAACCTCTGCCCGGAATCAGACTGTTGGGCTGCTTCAATGTCTGCACTATCTCAGCTACCTTCTGCTCGAGCCCGGATCTGGTCTCCATGGCGTGCACACCACGGTCCGGGGACTGTCTGCCTCGGCTACCCTGTCCCCAAGAATGATCTCTGGCAGCCAAAGTACTGATCATCTGGTTCAGCTCGGGTGGAGTCTTAGTGAGAATATCTCCTCCTGGGCATAGAGACTCAATCACCCTCTGGCTATCTGGGGAGAGAGCGCTGTAGAAGTTCCCCACAGTGAAAGCATCACTAAAGCCATGGTGGGGGCACTGCCAGAAGTAGCCCATGTACCGCTCCCAAGCATCACGAAGTGACTCATCTGGCTCTTGGCGGAAGTGAGTGATCTCCCGCTGAATCTCTGTAGTCTTCGATGCCGGATAGTACCTGTGCACGAACTTGTCCGCCAGATCGTCCCAAGAGGTGATGGACAATGGGGGCTGGGTCTCCAACCACCTCTTAGCATTCCCCGCCAGAGAATGGGGGAAGAGATGAAGGCGGATTGCATCATCCGGGACACCATTCAGCTTGAACCCGTTCGTCAGCTGCAGAAAACGGGAAAGATGTACCCTGGCCTCCTCATCCTTCAAGCCATGAAACTGGATAGAGGATGTGATGAGCTGAATCCAGCATGGCTTGATCTCGAAGTTGTTTGCTGGAATAGGCGGGTAGAGGATGACCGGGCGGATGTCAGCAATCCGCGGAGTGTAGTAGTACTCCAAGGTGGGACCCGGCGGCGGGGGATGATGAACTCCATGGTCCTGGGGTATGGGGTTGTTCCCCAGGACCTGATTCACCGGGGGAACCTGCTGCGGATTCCCCTGGTGTTGATTGTACTCTCCGTCCATCCTGTGCTCTTCTTCAGAATCACTACTCACGTGGCCGTCTATGCGCTCTTCCGTAGCCAGTCTAGCTCGTTGTTGTCTCCTGAGCTGGCGACAGGTGCGGTCAATCTCTGGATTCAACGGCAGTAAGCCTCCCGACTGGCTACGGGTCATGCACTACCTGCACATACTCAAGCAAACAAACCCGTGAAGGCACAAGTGGGACAAAGCAAACAAAGCAAAAAGAAAAGCTAAATTAACAGAAATCTCTTTTCTTCAACAACCTAGCCGTCCCCGGCAACGGCGCCAAAAACTTGACTCGCTACGACACAACACCTAACAATGTCCAAGTGTAACCAATGGAAGGGACTGCAGTATAGTGGCTCAAGTGATAAATATCGAATCCACGGGTCTCTAGAGTTACTATTACTCAGCTTCAGTTTATTATTTAGCAAATCAGATTAAGATGAAAGAGCTAAAACTACTCTAGCAAACTACAGTTAAAGTTAATCTAATTACAGGTTGGGAACTCACTTAGGTATGATTCCCCCTAACCACTAGCCAGATTAACGATTGATGATCTCTAACCTGTTTCACTTTCATTCATAATGCGGAGAATCCTTGACTAGACCTTGAGTCTCGACTAAAGGAACAAGGCCCTCTTGAGTCAATTGCCTAGAGGGACGTATCCTTCTCTAGAACAACTGATCAAGGCATTCTGAACTAGACTCCCTCTATCGAAAGAGGTTCTCAATCGATACAAAGCAGTGAATCAACCCTCGACTAAAGCAATCGATCCACTACTATCAATCTATGGTGCTCTATTGACCTAATCAGGTATTCCCTCTCATAGAATCAAAGCAGAATCAATAATCTCGACTAAAGCAGAATTGAATCATGAAAACATGCATAGATTGAATATGAACTCAAGATTATCAAGTCAGAGTACTCATACAATCATCCAATCAAGCAAACATAGCTAGGGTTCCTCAAAACCTAAGTGAAGGGAAGTTACTCCATAGAGAAGAGAGAGACTGCAGTAAGAATCTTCAGATGATCAGTCTTCAAGTCCGGGCTTGTTCCTCGAGCTTCCAAGGCGAAGAAATCCTCCTTCTCTACTCCAAGAATGCCCTCAAATCGCCCTCTCTCTCTAGGGTTCGTCCCTTGGGTGTTTGGGATCCAAAACCCAGCTCTCCCCTTCTTTGGTTCGGAATTTGGCTTAAAACCAGATTTCCCGACTCGCACGGCCAGGGTGCACGGCCGTGCATATCACCATTCTGGCCGTGCAACTCAAAACGCAGCGTGTCATTTAGTTGAACTTCAGCCCTCTCGCACGGCCAGGGTGCACGGCCGTGCGAGCTTCAGGGGTTGCCCGTGCGTGTCCTCGGCATAAGGCGCACGGCCATATTGCTCACGTGCACGGTCGTGCAGCCTCCCTGGTCTGCCCGTGCAGCTCCCCAAAAACCTCGCCATTCGTCCGTTCTTCGTCCAATCGACCCCAGACTCGCTCCTAAGCCTTCATTCACGTACTAGGACCTGAAACATCACAAACAAGCACAACCTAGCGTGAAAATCGGTCTAAACCACGAGAAATCACATCTCAAACGGTGTAAGAACAGGGGTAAAAACATGTGTAATTAACGGTCTATCAACAACAGACAACAAGAAAGCATTAGGTTGACCACCAAGTAGAGAACAACCAATCCATAGGAAGTCCATAAAGATATTTCAGTCAATTTTTAAGGTGGAATCATGATCGTCAGGAATAGTCGAAGGGAGAACCTTATCTATCATGGTACATGAGTGAGAAGAGAAGATAGGGACCTAGAGGACTACATCGAGAACGAGGGACATCTATAACTAGCAAGGAACATCAAGAAGAAGAGTCATGAGTAAAGAAGTAAGAGGGATATGAGTTTAGGGAACCTGCTAGGATACCCCAAAGTGAAACCAAGATCGCCTATGTTGGTAAAAGGTGTCAATCTCTCGGGTAAAACCTTATTGGACGGGGAAACTGTACGAGAAGTTTCAGCTAGGGTCTAAGAGTAGCAGAATGGATAGTACGAGAACTTCAAATTCAGGTAGCGATAAGGAAGTGCTAAGTTAGGTGCCAGGAGTGAACAGGTAAGCCAAAGGGAAGTTCATGACTCTTGAAGGGAGTAATATAGTTGCTAGCAAGCTAGAGAAAGATGCAAAGGATACCTTTAAAGCATACAGGAAGTAAAAGCAGTAGTATGAGATTTCAGAGTTGAGTAAGAAGTAACAAGGAGATGACCACCCAGTTCATGGTTAAAGGATAAGACGAGGTATCAAGAAAGAAAGTAAGGGATGCATAGTTAGGAGATACAAGCACCTAGGTGACCTATGAGGTCAACCCTAGACGAGAGTTACGTTAAAATAGTTTTTACCATCTGACTATATGGAAGATAAGCCGCCATCAGTGACCTTGTGGTTTGAGGGGGGCATTAACTTCTCATGTACCAAATAATGGATAGTTATCGTTCCGACATATGTTCAAGGTGCAGCCTAGGAGATGTGAGGTGTTAAGAAGCCACAAAAACATTGAAGTTGCAGGGAATGGAGAGAAGGATTTTAGGTCAAGTCGTATAAGTTAAAGGAAATAAAAATCAGCGAAGTGAAAAGGATTGCCACAAGCGACGCTTAGGGTAATCACAGTGGACAAATTTCGAGGGAAAATTTTATTTAAGTGGGGAGGAAATGTGAGATCTCGATTTCGGATTTAGGTTCAACAACAACTATCAGGTGAATTGGATCAACATATCAAGTGAACCGGCATTTTGTTGCATCACTTTTGGGACAAGTTGAGAAACAAAAAGGGCAATGAGTCACTCAAGGTTACACGAGTGCTACAAGCTAGGTGGGGGTACCTATGATAGTCAAAAGGAAATATATGAGGTATAGTGAACTACACAAAATGATCAAAGATTACCAACGAAGTTGTTATGGTGAGAGTAAATGATCGTGGGAAAGAAGTGTAAGAAGGGTGTTGATAGAAGGATGATTTCCGAGCAAATTTCGGGGACAAAATTTTTTATAAGGGTGGAGGAAATGTAACTCTCCAACCTTTGGGTTCAGGTTTGACCAAAATACGTGAATGGTTGGGTTAACGGTTACGTACGAAGGTTGCAACCGCGGATTATAAAGAATAATAATAATAGTAATAACTATATTATTGTTATTATTTATAAAAAAATGGGCCAAGTGGCGAGCGGCCCCTCAAAAACTCCATCCCTGATTAATTCCCAATCCACATTAATCTCCCCAACCCCATCGACCTAATGTCCGCCGCCTTGGAGAATCCTTTCTCCTTCTCTCGTACAAGATGAAAGAGAGATCGAGAGAGAGGGAGTAGACAAGGAAGCTCTGCAACTTCGGTTCTATTCTTCTTATTCGCACCAGGCTTCAGCAGCGGCTGAGCATCCCTCCCTTTGGCGTACTGCGGCTACATCATTGGACGCAATCAAAATTAAAGAAAAAGAAGGTCCAAAGCCATGTTGCTGCAAATTCCGCGCTTGACGAATTCTCCGAAGGATCCATTCGACGTAGACCAGGCCTATCTCCATCGCAAAATCATCCTCCAAAACCATCTCAAGCCTCGCAATTTTGGGGCTCGAGAGGGTCATTCTCCGAAGGATCCATTCGACGTAGACCAGGCCTAGATAGCATGCAAATTCGAGAGGGTCTTCGTCCAATTTAGACTCATCGCTCTCGGTGGAATAAGATGTCGTGGTGTGACAAGGTCTTTCCTTCACCCTAGGCATGATTCAACCCAAGGGACAGCTTGGTTGTGGGTGGTTGGACGCACCTCAAAGTCGTGATTTGAGGTGAGTGTTAATGGGGTAAATTGTACGCCTTAAGTATTCTTTCAAGTATTAGAGTTTTCAGTATTTTTGTGAAGTGTTGCTATGGTTGTTTATGCTCATGATTATGAGCTTGTTTGAGTTGTGGTTTATAGTGAATGTGTGATGTTTGCTTTAAAGCTTTACATTTATGAGTGATTGTTAAAGTCAAGAAGAAGTCCTTTTGTTTTAAGAAGTACTTCACCTTCAAGAAGGTGAAAGTCGTTTTAAGTGTTTTTAGTTGCTAGCAACAGTTTTGCTCTTGAGATCTTTGAGACAGAGCAGCAGTTATGCTCTTGAGATATTTAAGATGAGCAGCAGTTATGCTCTTGAGAATCGTGGTGAAGAGCCACCACGATAAGTTTAAAATGTTAGAGGGATGAATCGTTACGACTCCCCTAACTAAGTTTAAGTTTAAGGAAAGCCTGGATGGCTTCTCATACGTATGAGTTGGCAACCGGACTAGCTAGAGGAGCAGTTAGAGAGCAACGAGTTCGAGAGGAAAAGTTCGAGGGCAGCTAGTTAGAGGCGGGCAGTGCAAGCGTCACGGAGGATGCCTAATTAAGATTTTCTGTAGCAGCAGCGACATAGACTACCTAGTTATTTACATTTTATGATTATGAGTATAGACTAGAGACCATATTGAGATTTTAAAGTTTGAGTTTTGCCCACGTGTTTAGGGCTTCGATTTGAGATATTAAGACATTTGACTTCGGTATTTTATTTAAAGTTGTGTATTTGAGATTTTTAATTATATCCCGGGGTAGAAATGTCTTTTTCCAAATTCAAAGATGTGGGATGTTTCATGTCTTCCTCTTCTTTTATCTTCTTTTCTCTTCTATTCTCTTCAGGTGATGATTCCCATTTCCCGGTATTTGGTATAGTGGTATTGATACCAGATACCGACTATTCGGTATTTGGTATATCGGTGAACATTCGGTATCGATATTCAGTGGGTGCACTGTCTGTTTCCGGTATACCGAATATCGGGTAATCGGTATCTGGTATACCTGATACCGACAGATAACCAACCCTAGGTGGGGGAATTGAATGGGGAAAGTGTATTTTTCGACCATGGGATAAACGTGATAACAAAAACGCGAGAAATTCTTTTTTGATGTGGAAGTTCAGGCTACGCTGCAACTACAGAGCATACTTAATAATACCTCGGGCTCTACTACCACTTTGTTGGAAATAAAGTAATTATTTCTTATTGGCTTTTGCTTTGGTGGGCACCAAAATTATAAAAGGGACTTTGAAACTTGATAATGATGGACACGTTGCCGTGGCAGGAAAGGAAGCTTTGGGATATTTATATTTGGAGAAATGGAAGAAGGATTTTGGATTGGAAGAGGAGTGCATAAGGAAACTATTTCTTTATTGATACTTGCTTTGAATTCACTACTCTGCTTCATACACGGTTACATCCATGCCTATTTATAGGCCAATTCCACTCAAATATCTGCTCTCAACCGACTTACATTGTGGCTCTCATTGTGCGGGAATTCTTTAGTGCAGTGACTGCACTGATGCCGTCCATTTTGGACCGGCCATATCCGGTCTTGGGTTTTCCCCTTTACTTGTTACGTTAACCAAAAAACAAAAACAAAATTTTTTTTTTTAAGTTTTCTGTAGTTTAAATAACATTAGATACTTAACACGAAATTCATGTAATATTTTGTTTTTATATATTGTACTTTCGTTCTCTATTTTTTTTACAATTTATACCACGTAAAAAACAACAAATGCAGATTTTTGGTTGGAAACCTAAAAAGTAAATATGAGTCTGTTTAAAAGTACTTTTACCGAGTATTAAAATTAATTTTATATTATCATTGGCGGTGCTAGAAATTCAATTCGAAGCTAAAAAATATACTCAAACTAATTGAACCGTGATAATTGGAGATGTCTAATGTCTTATGAATTACTCTATTTCTAAAAAAATTACTAAATGTACATGTGTTTTTACCTACATTTATGACCCCCTATCACTAACGTGGCTCTGTCGCTTCTAGGGATGACAATCAAACCCGCAATCATGGGTATCCGAGTGCTCCGGCACAATCAATATGGGGAATCAACACATTGACTGGCTATGGGGAAGTACGGATAACCATAAAAAGTTTGATTGGGATGGGGTGGTATGGTTTTAGCCTCCTCCAATTTTATTCAGATACCCGTGGGTAAACCTGCTCGTACATCCAACATTACTATATTTAAAATATGACATGTAGATCTTTAATTATAAATATAACACTATATGGACCTAGTAAATCATGAAATCAACAAAGATACCACTTTAATACAAATTTAACGCCTTTAATCCTAAAATATTAATGAGCCATAAGAAAGAGTACAATATCATCCAAATTATTCATGTACGACTCCGACACATTTATTAACCAATAAATAACTAAAATAATTTTTTAAAAGAGAGAAATAAGTGAAGGGGTGAAGGAAGAATTTGAGGGAAAGAAATTATTGTTTGATTTTGGTGACCACTCAATTACATTTCAATTTTTTTACTCTTCTTTTCAGACTTGTTACAATTTGATTTATCTATTTTTATGTATAAAAAATATTCTTGGTGGTATGGGTAGGAGTATGTGGGAGGGGCGTCTAAAACCATACCACTCCATACCCATCAAAAATTTTGCGGGTTTTAACCATATTCCCTTCATACCCAGTCAACGTGAGAATTTCTTCCTATTACTGGTTGGGGATGCTTGAGTACTTGTGGTTGCACGTTTGATTTTCATCCCTAACAGCGACGAAACCACATTAATGATAGGGAGTAATAAATATATGTAAAATACATGCAAATTCTTTTAGAAATAGAGTAATTAATAAGACACTAGCTCATCTTCAATTATCACAGTTCAAATCTCTTGATTTTTTATTTTTAGTTTCAATTTAAATTTCTAGCACCGTCATTGATAATATTAACTTAATATTTTAAATACACGGAAAAATATTTTAAAATTGACTCATGTTTACTTTAGCTCTTAATTTGTTGTTTTTTCATGGGTCTCAATTGAGGAAAAAACATTGGACGAAAGTACAAAACACTAAAAAAACAAATATTACATGACCTTTGTGTAAAGTATTTAACGTTAAACTACAATAATCTGTAAATAATTGTTCTGTGTTCCCGTAGCCCAAGCCCAATAACAGAGAAAGCCAAAAACCGGCTGTAGCCGGTGAGAAATGAACGGCATCAGGATATTTTTATTAATTAAACTTTATTTAATTTCAACCGTTTTCTTGCTTTCAAGGATTAATTGTTGGTGAAATTGTTAGCGGATTAGCGGATTATTAAGCCCATTGCTCATTGATTAATTAAGCCCATTAGCCACTAATTGTACTTAGTTTGTTATTGAGCTTTGGGTCCATGAAACCCATGCAGACGTAGGTGCATAGGGTTAGGTTTTATTTTTGGTTTCCTCCTGTGTGAGGTTTTCTCTCGGCTTGTATATTTTGGGGAAGCAGCCGCTGCTCCTGGTAACACACACAAAAACACATATCAGGGATAATAAGATCAGTAGCTGAAGAGCTTACACTCTTCCGTGGATTAGTCCTGGACATTCCAGGGATACCACGTAAATCCGGTTGTTCTTGCTTAGTTCTTTCAATTTGCTCATTTCCGATCGTTCAACATGGTATCAGAGCTTCAGGCAATGGAATCTGATCGTCCTTCGGTTCGGCTGACATCGACAAACTTTGCTCTCTGGGAATTTCAGTTCAGGGTCTTTGTTGAAGGGAGAGGTCTCCTTGGCGTGCTCAATGGGACGGTCCCTCGACCTCTATCTACCGCGTCTGCCCACGAGATTTCCTTGTGGAATCAAAATGACGCGCGTGTTCGTCACTGCCTATTGGGCTCGGTGGACTCTTCTACATGCTTGAGTCTCCGTCTTTTCTCCACCGCAAATCAGATGTGGAATCACCTGGCTTCGACATACTCTACGGTGAATACGGCTCGTCAGTTTGAGTTACAGCTAGCTTTAGCTCGTCTGGAGCAAGGCGATCGCAGCGTCACTGAATATTTCAATCAGGCTCAAGAACTCTGGATAGAACAGGATATCGTGTCTGCAGCTCTCCGTCCTCAACCCGCATCGGCAGATGCGATCGCTGAACGACAGGGGTCCCGCGTGCTCTCTTTTTTGATGCGCTTGCGGCCTGAATTTGAGGCCGTAAGATCAACGTTGCTGAACAGGGAAGGGCTCCAACTTGAGGGCGTTATTCCTCATCTCGTGAGAGAGGAAACTCGGCTTAGAACTCAGTCCCAAATTGATCTCCGCCCTGGTGCAGGAGAGACTGTCTTTGCCGCTACACAAGAGCCCTCCGCCTTTGCTGTCTCACGTCCCCAATTTCAGAATCGCAACCTGCCGTCCAACATAGAGTGCCACTTCTGTCACGAACGAGGTCACCCGAAAAAGCATTGTCGACAATGGAATAATTGTGTTTATTGCAAGAGATCAGGACACATAATTTTGGATTGCCGTACGCGGCAGCGTAATGAAGCTCGCGCGTCTGCTGGGGGGTTCAATGGAGCGGCTGGGTTTAATTCATCTGCTGGGGGATTTAATTCACATGGGAGATTTAATTCACATAGGGGTTTTAATTCAGCCGCTGGTGGCAATAATTCCATTGCTGGGGAAGCGCCTGCCACTTTCAATTATCACACAACATCAGCTCGTGGACCGGGATTTGGTGATGCTTCGCGTGGATTAGGCCGGCGTGGAGAGCGCCCAGCTCACTCGGCCACACTTCTGGAAGTTGGCAGCAGCAGTAGCAGTTCTCTAACGGCAGCAACAGTGGAGCAGCTCGTCAATGCCGCAATTCAAAAGTCGTTACCCACTGCGATAAGTGCAGCCTTTGCTACTCTTCAGGGTTCAGGTAATACGACTCCTTGGTTGCTTGACTCGGCTTGCTTTAATCATATGACAAGTGATCATGCTCAGTTATCGGATATATTACCTGTTAATGACATGTCTCTAAGTGTTGCTAATGGTGGGAAGCTTAAGGTACATGGTATGGGCATTGTTTCTGGAGATAAATTGATGTTACCTAATACTCTTCATGTACCTGATTTAGTTCCCAACTTAGTTTCTGTGGGACAGCTTACTGAGCAAGGCTGTTCTGTCATGTTTGCTCCGACTGGATGTGTTATACAGGATTTGAAGACGGGGAGGCAGATCGGAAAGGGGAGTAAACGGGGAAGGATTTTTCAACTGGAAGAACTTCGTGGTCACAATTCGTTGTCTGTCAGTAGTCATCTCGATAGGTCCGTCAGTAGTCCATCTAATAAAAATTTGTCGGCTGCAGTTGGTTCGCAGTCATTTGTTTTTTCTAGTTTGTCAAATAATGATATTTGGGAACTTTGGCATTCCCGTTTGGGTCATCCACATTCTAGTCGTCTTGAACTCATGTTTCGGCAATCTTTATTAGGAAAGAATGCTGTTGATTTTTCGCCTAAACATTCATGTACAAGCTGTGTAGAAGCGAAAACTGTTAGTTCTTCTTATCCATCGAGCACTACCATCATTACAGATCCTTTTCATATCATACATACTGATCTGTGGGGTCCTTCACCTGAGGTTTCTCGTCGTGGTTTTCGATATTTCACTCTTTTCATTGATCATGCCACCCGTTATACTTGGGTTTATTTCCTCCGTCTTAAATCTGAGCTTAAATCTGTGGCCACTGATTTTTTGAAAATGATTCAGACTCAATTTGGTCGTACTGTTAAGATTATTCGGTCAGACCCAGGAGGAGAATTTAGTTCCTTTCCATTATATGATGTGTATCGATCTCTTGGGATTTTGACTCAACAGTCATGCCCTGGTGTTTCTCAGCAAAATGGTTTAGTCGAGCGGAAAAATCGTCATGTTATGGACCTTACTCGAGCTCTTCTACTGTCTTCCCATGTTCCTGATCGTTTTTGGCCGGAAGCAGTTGCTACTGCTGTTCGACTAATTAACTATCAAGTTACTCCAGTTCTGAAACACATGAGTCCCTTCTATGCCCTATATGGTCGTCATCCTAGTTACTCCAGCCTTCGAGTTTTTGGATGCCTGTGTTTTGTGTTGCGTCCTAAACGGGAACGAACTAAACTCTCGTCTAAAACTGCTCGATGTGCTTTTCTTGGCTATAGTGACGTCCATAAGGGTTATCTGTGTTATGATCAATCTTCTCAACGTATGCGCATTGCTAGTACAGTTATCTTCTTTGAAAATGTCATGTTTCACTCTCCTGGGTCGTCTTCCTCTCGGTTCCTTCCTACTGGTGTCTCACTTCCTCTTTTCGATGATGGCCACGAAGACCTTCTTCCATCTGATCCCTCAGATCCTCCCTCGCCCGGTCTGTCCTCCCCCACTCATCCCTCCTCCGCTACATCATCAGCCAGCTCATCCATGTCTCCCGGCACTCCTAGCTCATCATCCACCGTCGATTCTTCATCATCGGCTGCCGCATCTTCACCAGTTGCTCCTCTTCCACCTCGACAGTCTACTCGGGCGAACAAAGGTATCCCTCCTCCAAAATTCAATGATTATTTAGCTTACGGAGTTGATACCTTTGTAGTTCCCACCCGCTATCGGCAAGCTCAAGGTCATCCCCTGTGGGATGCAGCTATGAAACGTGAATTGGAGGCACTGCACGCCCAGAACACTTGGACTTTGGTTCCTCGACCACCATCTTCTACTTCTGTTGTTGGTTGTCGCTGGGTTTACACTGTCAAAATGAATCCTGATGGCACTGTTGATCGCTACAAAGCCCGGCTCGTAGCACAGGGTTTTACCCAGGAATATGGTGTGGATTATCGAGAGACCTTTGCTCCAGTCGCCAAGATGTCCACCGTCCGTACATTGCTTGCTGTGGCCTCTCACAAAAACTGGCCACTTCATCAATTAGATGTGAAGAATGCCTTTCTTCACGGCGATTTAGAGGAGGTAATCTACATGGAACGTCCACCGGGTTACACTCTTGGGACTTCTGATCAGGTCTGTCGTCTCAACCGTTCATTATATGGACTATAGCAGGCACCTCGCGCCTGGTTTGAGAAGTTTCATACTACCATTTGTCAGTTGGGTTTCTGTCAGAGTCAGAATGATCCTTCACTGTTTACTCGTTCTTCTTCGGCTGGGATTGTTGCACTTCTACTTTATGTTGATGACATGGTCATTACTGGGTCTGATCATGAGGGAATTGCACGGCTTAAGGAGGGTCTTCATTCGGCTTTTCACATTAAGGATCTTGGCGATCTATCATATTTTCTTGGACTGGAAGTTACGCGTGACTCAAGGGGCCTTCTCCTTAGTCAGCGTAAATATATCTCTGACTTACTTGAGGATCATCGGTTTGGCGACTATCGTCCGGTCTCTACCCCTATGGAATTGAATGTGAAGCTCAGTCGTAATTCAGGTGATGTACTTTCCGATGGGACGGCTTATCGTAGCATTGTTGGCAGTCTTATATACTTATCAGCTACTCGTCCAGATATATCGTATGCCGTTCAGGTTGTCAGTCAGTTCATGGCATCGCCTCGTACTGATCATCTTGCTGTAGTACATCGTATTTTACGTTATCTGCAGGGTACTCGTGATGTGGGTATTCGTTTTCCTTCTAGTGGATCTCTGGATCTCCAGGCTTATTCTGATTCAGATTTTGCTGGCTGTGTTGATACTCGGCGTTCTACTACTGGGTGGTGCATTCGATTGGGTGATTCTTTCATTTCCTGGCGTTGTAAGAAGCAGGATAAGGTGTCCAAATCCTCTACTGAAGCAGAGTATCAGGCCATGTCTGATGTTGTATCCGAACTTGTTTGGCTTCGTCGACTCCTCCATGATCTCGGAGTCCACTGTCCCTTGCCTATGGATCTCTATGTTGATAACACCAGTGCGATTCGCATTGCAGTGAATCCAGTTCTCCATGATCGTACGAAGCACATAGAGATTCATGTTCATTATGTTCGGGACTTAGTTAGCTCTGGTGATGTTACTCTGCATTACATACGTACTGAGGATCAGGTTGCAGACATCTTTACTAAAGCCTTCTCCACCAGTCGTCATTGGTACCTGTCGAGCAAATTGATGCTTTCTGATCAGCATCAATTTGGGGGAGGCTGTTAGCGGATTAGCGGATTATTAAGCCCATTGCTCATTGATTAATTAAGCCCATTAGCCACTAATTGTACTTAGTTTGTTATTGAGCTTTGGGTCCATGAAACCCATGCAGACGTAGGTGCATAGGGTTAGGTTTTATTTTTGGTTTCCTCCTGTGTGAGGTTTTCTCTCGGCTTGTATATTTTGGGGAAGCAGCCGCTGCACCTGGTAACACACACAAAAACACATATCAGGGATAATAAGATCAGTAGCTGAAGAGCTTACACTCTTCCGTGGATTAGTCCTGGACATTCCAGGGATACCACGTAAATCCGATTGTTCTTGCTTAGTTCTTTCAATTTGCTCATTTCCGATCGTTCAACAGAAATGACAATCGGACTCCTCACCGCATAGTTTCCATTTTCCTCAAACCAGGTAATGGAACCATACGAAACCGCCCCTTGGCTCGCGTAGGTTATCTCCACAGAGTAATGATGACGCTCGTGTTCCTTCATGAACACCAAACTCTGAGGCCACACCGAAACTGTGGAGCCGATCGGAGGGTCCACCTTCACCTTATAGGTAGCTGCTCCTCCACCGACATTGGTAACAACCCTGCGAAACCTCTTCGTCATCACCACTCCATTAGAAGCCACGTTCTTGTCGTAGAACGCCAGGAATGACGGATAGTTCAGATCCGGGGAAGCATTCTCGCAATTGTAGACGTTGGATCTGGTGACGGTGAGGATCTGGTTCTTGGTGAAATTCATTGAACACAGCAGAGAAACGTAGTCCTGCGCGGCCGCGTCGTAGACCAGGCCAGGGTCTAGCGCCTTATTTAGCACGATGTGCCCAGCGCCCATCGCGAAAGGAGACGCGGCAGTGAAGCCCCGAGCGGCGTCTTTGATGGGCATCCCAGAGTTGTCGAGCTCGGTGGCAGTGGTCATCATGGCCGACTTAATGGCTGCATGGCTCCATTCCGGATGTGCGGCTTTCAGAAGCGCCGCTACGCCAGCTGCGTGAGGGCAAGCCACGGAAGTGCCCGACTGGAGATTAAATCCTTCACTGGTCAGGAACATATTAGGACCAAGTCTTGTTGCGACTTCATTGGGTATCCAGGAAGCCAAGACGGAGCTTCCCGGAGCCAAGACGTCTGGCTTCAGAACCCCAAGACAGTTGGGGCAAGGACCTCGAGATGTGTACTCCGCCACCACGGGAGCCGTCTCTTTGCCCGTCGCGGTTTGTTGGAACTTGATCGAAGCAATAGGCTTGTCGCTGCTCTTGATGTAGTCCATAACCGCTTCCAAATCCTTGGTGGAAATCAACACGGCTGCTGGATTGTTCATCCAGTCGAAGTCGAAACGGGAAGGATCTTTGCAGACGAAAATTGCGGCGACGAGGTTTGTGGCGGCGCGGAGGATTTGGTACATCTGGTCATATAGAGAGCTTAGAGACCCTGTGTCTTGGCAAACAAGAATGCCACGTGGTGCTTTGGAGAGTAACTCTGAATCGTTGCATTTGGAGAGCGTCTTGTTGTAGATGAGGGTTTCGTCCTTGATCCACAAGCCGAGAGGGTACATGCTCTTTCCGACAATGGTATGTTGTTTCCTAGCTTTATCACTTCCTAAGGTCAAGCTCGCAACGAACGTGCGGTCGAAGGTGCCAGCTCCGACGGTCAACACCCAGGGGACTCCATTACGCAATGTGCCTTCCGGTGGCCCATTATTGCCAGCCGCGGATGAGATGAAGACCCCCTTCTCCATAGCACCAAAGGAAGCGATTGCAATAGGATTCTCGTACAAAGGCGTCACATCATCGGACCCCAATGAGAGGGAGAGAATATCCACTCCATCCGCTACCGCTTGGTCCATTCCAGCGAGCACATCCGAATCATACATTTTTTTGCCCACCGATGACACCTTGTACATTGCCACCCAGGCCCGCGGGGCCATGCCTCGAGCCACTCCTTTAGCGTAGCCCAAGAAGGACGCACCTTCGACGTAATTTCCCGCCGCCGTGGAGGAAGTGTGGGTCCCATGGCCGTCCGCGTCCCGAGGTGAGTTCTTGGTTAAAGTGGCGTTGGGGTTGGATGCTCTGTATCCTTTGTCGAAGTATCGAGCTCCTATCAACTTGGAGTTGCACAGGGAAGAGTTGAAGTCCTTCCCTGCTTGGCAAACTCCTTTCCACTTTGCCGGTAGCTTGATGGTGGTCATCCCCCGTTCGTCGAAGCTAGGACTTTCAGGCCAAATCCCGGTGTCAATAAAACCGACGATTACGCCTTCGCCGAAGCCGGAGGCTGGCCAGATACCTGTCGTTGGGTTCAGGGACATAAACTCTGGCGTATAAGTTGTAAGCAGTCTTTGTTGCTTGTCCTTGTTTGCGGATAGAAATCCTGGCAGGTTTTGTAGCGTTCCAACTTCTTGCTCCGTTAAGACGGCGCTGAACCCATGCAGCGCGTTCTCGTACGAGTACAGGAATGAATTTTCGAGGGATGAAAAATGATGAGTTGTGGCGGAGGATTTGATGGAGGTGATGATGGAGGAGTGCCACTTTTCATTGGTAGTGAAGGGCGTTGGACGGGAGGAAGGGTTGAGATGGACAATATAGGTGGCGTAGCTCTCGGCTGTTGGAGTTGATGAGCAAGTATGGAAAGTGAATATGAGAAGAAGAAGAAGAAAGGTGTGGAGGTGAATCATTGAAAGAAAAGAAGTGAATTGCATGGTTGTTTCTTTGTGGGAATGCTCGGTACGTTGAAGAGATGGGGTGCTTCTTGTGCATCTGTTTCATCCTCTATATATACACACATAAGGTGTAGGTTAGAAAATTAGTGAATATAAATTATTAGTGTACATGGAATGGACGTTCTTAATTGCGCGATTCATGACGAGGACCCTGCTCACCTTGCAAGTGATTTTCCGTCCTGGAAAAGAAAAGTAGTTCGTTACAACGTCCCATAGATATTTCTCTGGTTCATACAATAATGGTGAATAATATTTTATGTCATCCCTAACCGCATCGTTTGATTCTTTTAAAAAAGGGGTAACAGCAAGCAAGAGAAAGAAAGAGAAATGGCCATATATACAAAGCTGGTGCAGCATAGACGAGAGAGATGTGAAACGGCCATACCTTGTGTTGATCTTGGAGGAAAATTGTCTACTTGTATTATTGATAATTGGGTGAAAAATTACATAGTCTTATTTACATATATATACATAATCTGCAGCTGTAAAATAAACAAACAAACATCATAATAAACAAACATTACAATACAGTTCCTATATTACTAATTCTTTACAACCGAGTCCTCCAACACCTTGGGACTGAATTTCGATGAACGACAACAGCAGAGCAGCAGGCTGAGGAAGAGGGTAATGACCAGAGAGGGTTGAAGGATTATTTCCTACATACAGTAATTAAAAGTAATTCCCAGAATATATAATTTTTATAAAAATTTCCCAAACTACCAAAGTTTGACACGGTTCGAGTTCAATAAACTCGAACTAGTACCAGATCGACTGCCAAGCTCTCAATCCACGTGCATCAAGGGAAACGGCCACGATTGGCTGGCACAGGACGACGAGGATCGAGGTTATTAAACTCAACTTACGTAGATCGAGTACAGAGGACTCGAACTGGCTGACACGGATCAATGACATAGGCAGCAATCCACCCTAGATTGAGTTACACGGAAACGATCTCCACCGTTCGGTGGCCATATCTGCGATGAAGTGGTGACGCGGATCGAGTGGACGGAACTCGATGCAAGTGGATCGAGTCCTTGGAAATCGATCTGCTAGACGCGGATCGAAGACGTAAGACACGCTCTGTCGTAGATCGAGTACTCCAAACTCGATCTGGATCGTTCGATTTGCCATCCCTCGAGCTGGTTTTGAAGCGGATCGACGGCAGCAAACTCGATGCAGTGGTTCGAATGACATAAACTCGATCCACCTCCTCCCAAAGCACCAATAAATACCCCCTTCCATTCCACCAAAACTCACGCCACTCCATTCTTCTTCCTCTCTTCCTCGCATCACTCTTGAAGAAAAAATATGCTCTGTATTTGCGGCTAAGGCCGATCTTCCGCATCAATTTTTCTTCTTCTTTAGTTTGGTACTTCTCTATCACTCAAAATTGTCGAGATGGACCCGAGTATTTACGATCCTAGATTATACATTCAAGGCGGACCACGAGAAACCGATTTGTTGGATGAGCAACCTTACCATCGGTCTGAAAGTGTTTGGGCGGCAGATCCCGTAAGCACTTCCTCATGTACTTTTCTTTTTTTTAAACGTGATAGTATTCTTCTAATTTTTTTGTATAATAATTAATGCTTATTTTTCTACACGAACAACTTGGCGTAATCACCCATCGGTCGCTATCTCGCTTGCCTAAATGGGATGATCGGATCGAGCCCTTCATTGAAAGAGCACGATTGCCGAGGGTGCAAAAGTTTGTGGGGATAGAGATGGACAACAACCTTCTTACGGCAATGGCGGAAAGATGGAGAAAAGAAACGCACACATTCCACCTTCTGGAGGGAGAGATGAAGATTACGTTGAAGGACGTGGCCATGCTGACAAAGCTTCCAATCGATAGTGATGCAATAATAGAAAGTTCACAAAAACCATTGAATGGTTGGGGCAAATTTATAAGTGAGCGTTTAGGCATCAACATCCCCGAGGAAGCACCACAAGGTCGTCGTGTACCACCTCTACACAAGTCTATGCTATTGATACCTTGGCTTGTGAGGACAGCTGAAGAATTACCGGAGGATGCCACAGATGCTCAGATAGAGAGGTATGCTCGCATCTACCTGATTTGTTTGGTTGGAGGATTTTTGTTTCCGAACAAGTCTGGTGGAAATATGCATTGTATGTGGCTTCGAGTTCTTTTGGAAGATTGGGACGAGATTGGGAGAAAAAGTTGGGGATTTGCTTGTTTGGCGATGATATATTCAGAGTTGTGCAAGTGTACGGACCCGAAAACAAAGCAAGCGGGTGGTCCCATGTTCATCCTCCAATTATGTGTATGGGAGCACCTTCCTACTTTCGCTCTGATCTACCCTGCCAATAGGTGGAGTCCCGAAGAGCCACTACGACAATGAGCTTATGGTGCTAGATGGATTGGAGCTATCACGAGACTCACCTCTCTAGACAGGTACCGCCAACATCTTGACCGTATAGAATTCAACGAGGTAACATTCTAGCTTGTGATTATTAATGCTAATTTATTTGTCTTAGCCCATAATTTATTTTTATGATTACGAATCCTATTTTATTTGTTGAATTTATTTGTCTTAGCCCATGATTTATTTTTATGATTACGAATCCTATTTTATTTGTTGAAATAATTTGTCTTAGCCCATGATTTATTTTTATGATTACGAATCCTATTTTATTTGTTGAAATTATTTGTCTTAGCCCATGTTATATTTTTATGATTACGAATCCTATTTTATTTGTTGAAATTATTTGTCTTGGCCCATGATTTTTTTTTTATGATTACGAATCCTATTTTATTTGATGAAATTATTTGTCTTGGCCCATGATTTATTTTTATGATTATGAATCCTATTTTATTTGTTGAAATTATTTGCTTCGATTTTAATTTATTTGTTGTGTTGAAACTTAGGTGGAGTTGGATCCGTATCCGAATGGAGCAAAGGATTTGTACGAGTTGCGATACCCTGAGGATCGTCGACTCTGGTCGTGCAAGTTGCCTGTGATTTGCCACAACATTGTCGAGTGGCACCTCCCGGATAGATGTGTCCGACAATATAATTGGGCGCAAGCGATTCCTCTCCCACCACCGGACGCTCATAAGTCACTCAATAAGTACATCAAGGATCTGCGGGGTACAATCAGTGATTGGCTAACCAAGCACCATAGATGGATTGAAATGTGGGAGTCTCGTCAGATGTATGCAATTGATGGCATCCCAATGACGAGGCCAATGGGGTACCAAGATGAATACATGGTTTGGTACCGCAAGTTCACAAAAAGATGGGTAACCAAAAGTGGCGCCGTGATCGGTTTGTTGGTAAGCACAATATTTATTTACTATAATCACTTTAGCTACACAAAGAGTGTTTGACTAACATGTTTATTATTTAGGTTGATGGGTTGGAACTTGAATCAATGACGTTAGAGAGTGAACCAGAACAAAATGTGCCCCCTGATAAAATTTCATTCTTGAAGAAGCTCTTCAAGAATCTCTTGTCATGTTCGCGGTAAATTCGAAGGGATGTCATTGCATATCCTCCTGCACCTGCACCGCCACGTCCTTCCTCCCATGCCATTGAAGTTGAATCCCTCCCGCCATTGCAACCAAGGAGGAGTAAACTTCGGCAAGAGGTAGTTACAGTCCCTGTGCAAGTACGAGAAGATGTGGCACTTCCTGCCCCATACGAGTCGCCCCCCCCCCCCCCTCGTCAGAAGGGAATTCGGAGAGGGATCATCAGGTTCTGCTCAAGGAGGGGGAGGAGGAGCCAACTATGCTCCCTCGTTTTATGGGTATCCCAATGTCGACCCTCAATTCCAAACCCCGCAGCAAAGCTTCTATCCTCCGATGGCAAATGTTTATTATGGTCCTCCAGCCACGGCAACCCCACCTCCACTGCAACGAAATACTGGAATTGGATATGAAGTTCGTTAAAGGAATAGACATCGAAGAGAGGGACGCTGACGTGGTGCGCAAGAGTGAGCAGTGTGATTTCTAGAGTTGTGATATTATCGAGTTGCTGCTTCTTTAGAGTTGTTAAGTTGTTCTATTTCTTTAGGCTTGTTAAGTTGTTCTATTTCTTTAGGGTTGTTAAGGTGTTCTATTTCTAATGACATTGTTAAGGTGTTCTATTTCTAATGACGTTGTTAAGTTGTTCTATTTCTCATTTTCTCTAGAGTTGTTAAGTTGTTCTATTTCACAACATAAAATTCAAATCACAACATAAAATTCAAATTACAACATAAACTTTCAACTGTCAGTCGATGGCCCTGGACACTGGCGCCTATCATGCCCTTTAACTCGACATGCAGAGCACTTTTTCGGGCGACGTCGCTGTGTCCTTGATCTATCCATCTCATTTTCAATTCGGTTAACTCTAGGTCGACCTTTAGTACGCTTCATGTGCTCGGGAGGGTACACTACAGGTCCATCATACTGGGGCCAATATGCTTCATGAGTTAAGGGAATGAACGGCCCTTCCCAAACTCTGACCACGTATGGAGTCTTGTAGTATGGACTAACAAATATCAAAGGGTCCATATTAACACTTCTCGCAGCTGCATATGGATGAGAGCAAGGCAGGTGTCTCCCTTTTCCCACAAGTACACTCTTCTGTTCCATTCCTTGCATCAAGCATAACTGTTTGAGCATTAGCATCCTTTGAACTATCTGGTCCACTTCCTGTTACTACTGCGAAGCGGGAATCTCTTCGACTAAATAAAGTCACCTTATGCCATTTTTGAAACACCCTAACCCGGCTGGGTACTACTTTTACTAAAATGCCCTTGATAAATAAAATACTCAAATCTTAAATTGCAGCGGGAAAAATTTTCATAAATAAAATACTGAAAACACACACTTGCAGTTCAAAGCAAAGCCCTAACAAGTGGGCAAACTCAATACTAAAAATCTCAAAATAATCTCACAATAATCTCAAGATAATCTCCAGTCTGTACTCGCAATCATAAATGTAAATAACTAACAATCTCAAAAGTTGATGCTACTGAAAACCTTGACTAAGCATCCTCCGTGACGCTTATA